AGCTCTGAGATCAATTACTGAGCAAATCCATCTCTATGATCAATAAATGAATGGTCACTCGAAAAAACTCAAGTTCGTCGATGTTTTCATTAAATATCTCGTTGAATAGTGAAAAGATGTGAGGAAACGACGAGGTTTATAATATCATAGAATTGTATGTTCATAATGAGTTATGATATTGCTAACTGGATGGATGGGATAATTTACAGCTCACGACCTACTTGTAAGTGAAACAAATCGCATGGTAGCGAACAACATAGCTTTTTCTTCACCAACCTGATAGCATCCTTGCCATTCGAGTTGAAGACATTTTCAACGAAATCGCCCTCAACACGTTCCACTATAGCTACCTCTCGCCTTGTTTGCAGTTCACGATGATTATCTGCTAACTTCTCCGGACAGAAACCATTTCGTTTTCGCAGAGTCATTGTACCATACTCTGTACTATCTACAAAAAAAACTGCGTGATTGACACAAAGCGTGATGTGGGACAACATTGATAGACACTGATATCAGATATTAGTTGAAAAGACCAATTGATCCAACTCCCAAGAGAAGGAAAGATAACTGCTTTTAATCTCGCTCAGCCAATGCTTCCGAGATGAATTTTGTTTTGATTAGTTAGAATGGATTCAAATGGATGCACGTACCATCCTCACTTGCTAAACATTTATGCAAATGTTCATCATCTGCATCGCCATCGGAACTCGTCTCCAACGAACAAGCGATCTCATCGTCGTATTCCTCCTCGGCTATTGGCTCTTCTGAATTCGATTAACTCCAGTTAGATGACACCAGAAATATTCAAAAGCAAATGTTTTGGTGTCGAAATTGAGAATTTTTACAAGAAAATAGAACGTTTCATTTGAGCAAGTAGAGATTTCTCACAATCAATATGAACAAGCGATTATTCAAAATCATATCGCGTAACGAGTAATCGTTCTGGCAACGAAAACGGTTCGGATTACAATGGAAAAATCACCTAAACACGATGTCATTGGGACGTCAAAATGCTGTCGTTTAAGTGTGGATGAGCAAGGCTTTTCGGCACCATAATGCGCCAAGTCAAGAAGATTCTCCCAGACGTTCGAATCCCATGGTTCATTGAATACTGTTCCGGCCACACTCACACTATCGTCTTCTTTCGTACTTTGAGGTGCTGAAATTGATTGACTGAACATTAAAATCCAATAGGTTATCAAGTCGCAGTATAAAATGTCACAGGACAGTTCATTTATAATAATGAATTGCCCTGGATTATACATTACAACTAGTCGCCCACCACTAAAAAATTTCCGAAATCAATAGCAAATATTAAAATTATTCAGAAACATATTTGGAACTCACATTGAGTATCACAATGCCCCAGNTTTTGCTGCACCTCAATACAGTCAGAGAGTTGCGCATAATCACAAATACGATGAACTGGTGAGTCTCTTGCAGCCGTTGTAAAGTCTGCTTGATGTGGATTTGAACGACCGTCAACCATCACTGAGGTGCACGCCTCAGGTTGCATTCCGGACGACGGAGACGATTCTGAAATAATCTCGTTTCCAATACGCCCGAAAACTCGAATCAATACGATGCCTTGAAACGGATCTCAATTCAAAATCCTCGGAATATTTCATTATTCATTCAATAGATCCGTTTTTGTTAAACATATGAAAGCAATTCATGAAAATTTTTGGAGTTATTAAGTGGGAACAAGTTTTAAAAGATGATCTTTAAAGTGATCATAATGTTGAGATGATTGCAAAGAGCGATTGAAAAATCAATGGAAACAAACTCGTTTTGTTCGTTGGTGGAGTAATAGGTGGACGTAGTGGGCGACTTTTCGGACTGCTTGCGTCAACCAATGACGGGCTCTTATTGGACCAATGTGAGTTGCTTGGTGCCTGGGGTGTAGGGCGGACCTGAAGACGGGAATGCTTTAACTAATTTATTCTGAATTGAGCAGCTATTCACTTGAACAAACTCATTGATTCCATGAGCTGGGATTGAATGAGAGATCTGATACTTTTATGCAAAGATGAACAACTTGAACACTGACAATTCAATTGTACGATCGAAAGCAATATGAATCTACATCAGCTATGCCCAGTGACACTGTAACTTAAGATATAACAGTAATAATAAAGCGAAATAATACCGATTCTACCAAGAAAGTAATAATAACTCGAAAGTTATGCCAGAGGTCAATGAATATCCTCCATTCAAAATCTCATCGTATTTCACTCAAACGCCGATCTCAATATATCTCAATCTTAAGAGATCTCAATTGAAAAATCGCAAGTCGATAGCCCAAATAATAAACATCAACAACAACATCGCGATTTTGTTTTTGCATTCGCTGTGCTAAAAATATCCCCTCTCATTCATATGAATATATATCCCTGCTATGTCTATGAACACTTGTTTACTTTTAAAAAAAACTACAACTGGATAGCTGTGATCCATCGGCGGATGCCAGTTGGCACAGAATCTATCGTTTATGCAGTGTATCTCTTTGGAGAGTAAATACATAAATCAGCTCATACGGATTTGTTGAATGGGCAATAAAACTGTTGCACATATTTACTAGAATTGATCAGTTCGTGATCTATTTCAAGAACAGAATGGAAGTTCAAAACCGGCATCGTGCTGTAACGTCCGGTTGTGAAAATTCAAAGTTTATATCTAGTAAATCTAGTAAAAGCTGGCCCGATACGAGCGATCTTCTTAAATCTATGAAAAAAAAGACACTCAAATTTGTTTGATGAATCCGAAATTTGACAAAAAAACTTGAAAAACAAAACCACAGTGAATGAATATATAGATTATAACAAATTTTTAAGATCACTCATTGTCAGTTCTTTTCTCTACAATATTATACACGAACATATCAAGAGCATCATTGAATGCAGCCAGTGTTCGAGAAACGGAGCAAGATGAATCGAGATGATGCNCATAATCCCATAGAGTGGCTAATCGAATCGAAAGCAAGCAAGACTCTACCAGTCAGTTACAATTGCTAGTGGATTTGTGGACCAACCGGTTTAGGGATATCGTTTTGTATACTCAGCCGTTTGACCGATACGTCGAGAGAGAAGGGGATACAGATGGCTGGCTACATTACTTCTTTCAAATTCTCTCTCAAAAATGCGGTTTTCTGCACAGGTAAATAACCAATATTCTATTATATTATGCACTAATTACAGTTATGATAGCTGACTCGAATGCATTCTCGCATTGTACGTTAAACGTAATACAAGTCTAAAACAAACAGAAACGAGTAAACGTAAAACAAGTTAACTTCATTGTTGTTGTGATATTCTGCAAACCATGTGCAAAAACTGCATGATACATGTGACGATACCAAATATTACAACATGATCTTGAATGAGCTAGTGCAGACTGGTTAAGAGAAATTATTAATAGCGCTAGAAATACCATCAATACTTCAATGATTTACACATTCTAGTAAAACAAGAGAGTGAAGAGCACACTTAAGAATTTGTAGTAATTTACTACTGCAAACAATCAAACTATTACTTTTGAGCAAGAATGCAAATCAAAGAGATGTCCAATGCTCGTTCGTGTAGAATGTAAATAGAGTCTTCGAATGCTCTGAAGTGATTGATGATTCGAGTAAAGTAATTTGATTGAAACAACATAGTGTGATTAGAACGAGAACAACTAATCTTGTGATTGAATTAGATCATGAAGGAACTCTCGGCACTTAACCGAATGAATAAGATGCTAGAGAGGCTTGTTTCCGTCAATTTAGAGCAAATCAGATCAACTGTTGGAATTTGATTTCACTGATGACATATGCAAGCGAATCTAGGCAATGATGCATGGTGAATGTCGTCAATATAATATAGAACTTGAAAGATTAACAATGCCCAAATTTAACACGGCTGGATTTGATGTTGAATCAAAACATACGG